GCCAACAGTTGAGCTTAGCGCTCAAATAGTAATTGCAGTTGCAACAGACTGTCCACTTTGGATCTCACCCGGAACTGGCAAAGGAAAGGGTAAGATGCCAAGGGAGCATCTTGGAATTACTTGGGCCCAGTTCTAGTTTCCATCCATGTCTGCTTTTTCCTTAAGCAAAGAGACTAACACACAGCAACTACCCTTTGACCTTGTACAAGTATCTTAGCTTATTGTGCTTCAGTGTTCTCAGTTGTCAGATCTCTGTTTGTGACTATTCAATGAAGTTCTGTTGTAAAGTTCAAGGCACAGTGCCTGGGACATAATACGCCCCCCGTAATATATGTTCGCTCTTGTTATTTAAGTGTCTGTTACACGCCAAACCCAGTGGTAGGTATTAGTCATTCTAATCCTCACAACGGTACTGCAAACATCAATCGTTAGTTCCATTTGAGGAGATGACATCTCAGAGAGGTGAAGCCACGTGTCCGGGGTGAACCAGTAGTAAAGGTGCCAGAATCAAACCAGGCTGGCTACAAAGTCTGTGCCATCACTGTGCTTTCCAGAGTAAATAGTGTATGAGCAGACATCTCTGTGTAAATGGGACCGGAGCCATCAGGCTAAACAACTCCCCGCTCCACGCAGCCCAGGGTAATTCGTATCCACTGAGTAAACACACCATTCTGGGCAAGAGTTCCCTTGTGTCAACTTGCCGGTTCTAGGAATTCTCAGTATATACATTGGAGCCCAACCAAAAATTCATTGTGAGGCTGGTCTTTCTTGAGATCCCTCCCAAGGGGCTTAGCTAATAAAACTGAAGGCACCTTCCTACAAGGTGGTTTCACTCGGGGGACTCCCTTGATTGTCTCCCAAGAGATAACTTGTTATAATGGCTCTAGCATACGCCAATCCCCAAGTCTCCAGGGAGTTAAGGGGCACAGTTACCCCACCTTGTAGGCTCCCTGCTTTGTCACCCCCTCCTCCCTGCCCCCAGCCTAATTAGATGTGTGCAATCACCTGAGAGCAACTTGTCACATTGCCTTTACCTATGTCCTTGCCTCTCTTCCAGCCCAACTGAGAAAAGAATGCTACATCCTGCTTGCTTTGTAGCCCCAGAATTTATCACACTTTTTGGGACAATAACAGCAACCACAGCATTATCATCGTTGGCATTTATTGGGCACTTAGTGTGTGCGTTTTGAAGTAGATAACTATTGTGATCCTCTCTTTAAAGGCAAGAAAACAAGCCCCATGAAGGGTTTTTGCTTTCAGAGTTACAAAACCATACATGGTAGAGCTGGCTGTGAACCCAGGGAGCTTGATTCTAGAGCCGCACTTCAACCAGTACTCTGTGATGTTTTCCACGTACTAGTAGATGCTTAATTAATTGATATTTGCAAATGGATACACATGTGGATATAATTGCTGTATTTTGAGAAATAGGATATGACCCGTGACAAACTGAACTCCGTGCAATAATGAGCTATGTTGCAATGGAGCTCTTCTATACTTTCAGCTTCTGTTATTCTGCAGTTCTTCATCTCTCTGTATGCCTGCACAGGGGAGGCAGTATAGAGCTTATGGACGTGGGTTAAATGCAGATGCAGGTTCTGATAATTAATGGTAATGAATGAGCACCACTTCTGTGGGCACATTACTTATGCCTTCTTAGTGACATTTTCCTCAGCTGGAAAATGAGAATAATGATGGTGCCCTACCATATACAATAAACTTAAAGGAAATAATGTGAAGGGAATAATATAAGTCACCATTTTGAAACACAGTCATTCAACAAACATGAGCAGGTTGAGTGATTATGATCACTATTGTCAGAAATGTCGTTTTTAAAACTTTATCATTGAGACCTCTACTTCCTATCAGTGGACAAGGAGATCTGAGCCAGGGTGAACCATACTAAGGGACATGGCTGTAACCTGAAATCGAAGGTCACAAAACTCAGGACAGTTTTTTGACCTATGGGTGCCGGAGGCCCGCAAAGCATTGCAGAGCTAATGGAGTCCTCGTGCAATACTCACATCTTTGGGGTATGTGCTGTGAGGTTCCAGGAGCCTGGGCAGAGAAGAACTGGGGATGTCCATGGTCGGTACCAGTCATCTGATGCCTGGTGGCCTCACAGGTGGAGTGGACAGCTGCCAGGAAATCTCAAGGATACCAAATACTAACAGCTCGCAGGAGTTGCCATTTATTGCACAGTTGGCAATGAACTTCACACACAGTAGAGATTGATTCATTCATGCAACCATACTTATTGATCCAGGCAATGTTCTAGGTTCAGGGAATCAATAATGACTAAAACAGATAAAGTCCTAGATATTTAGGTCCTTTTATACTTTATATGCATCATCTACAACAACACTGTGATGTAGATGTCAGCAGTCCTGTTTAATGGATAAGGGGACTGAGGCTGAGAGAGGTTATATACCGCACCTCAGAGCTGGAAAGTGATGAACCTAGGATTTGAGTTCAATTCCTTCTGATGCCAAAGTCCATTTTTAAGCCACAATATGACAATATGACACTGCCTATCAAAGAAATAGCAAACGCTGGAATCCTCTTTCTCTCTCTCTCTCTCTCTCTCTCTCTCTCTCTCTCTCTCTCTGTGTGTGTGTGTGTGTGTGTGTGTGTGTTGGAGAGAAGGGGTATTTGTTAATTCAGAAATCAAAATAGCTGTCATAGTGATACTTCAATAATTGTGATCAGCAGTTTGCAAACTGCAAGAAACTCTGGTTGTGGCTTCCAGTCTTGAGCTCAGCCTATCATTTTACTGCTCCTGGTCAAAATCGATGTGTCCTTGGCTGCCCTTAACAAAGAGAAGAATTTTTGAGCTTAGGCTGATAAGCAGGTAGAAGGTCTGAGATCCGGTGGTTCATTCCCAGACGTGCCTGCTGAGTAAACTCCTGAGTGCCCTCCAGAGCCTGGACAAGGCCAATGGGCACCATGCCCGCTGAGATGTTGTCCAAGCCCAGGGAGCTGGTGCTCAGATGGCAGTGACTCTGCGCATAAAGAGTGAAATGCACTGATCCATTCAGGGCTGCGGCTCGTGGGGCCCAGAGCCAGTGGGCTGCTACTGACCCATTTGTTTAGGCCTTTTTCATGCCTGCTCCCCATGGACTGGGAAGGAAGTTTAAGAGGCAGCTTTTCAAATGCCACTGAAATGGAGAAGGGGGGAGGGCAGTCGGACGTTGCAGTGGGGCATAAAGGGCCGAAAAGGAATGCTCTGTTCTAGGTCGGGATCTTTGTGGCCTCATTTGGTTTCCAGGGGATGCCACTGTTTCTAGGCAACACAGCCACTACTTAGCTTTCCAGGGCTACTCCTTCAGCCCGTCCGTTCCAAAGCTGTTCCATTGCACTCTGATCCCATTGACATAACCTCCCAATTCAAGGGCAGTGCCGTCACTTGGGAAGGATGTTGCAGTGGGACATCAGGAGACCCGGATCCTGGCCCTGGCTCCGCCCCAGCTGGCGGGGGGACCTTGGACAACTGCCTTTGCTCCTGGGTTTTCCTTTCCTTTCCCATAAAGCAAAAGGGAGTGGAACTGGATGGTTATGTTTCCTATGATCTCTTCCGGCTCTAAAATTCTGAGTTTTGTTAACTGGGTATTTTGCAGCTTTAAAGTGTCTTTTTTTTATTCTCATGCCCTGTTTTCCAAACCACATTTTCTGCTCCTTAAGCATAACATTCTTTCTGTTGCTTCAGTGCCCATAGGGCTGATCCTTACTATTTGATCGCTATTGTTAAATTAATGAATGACTGCATGAGGACATCATGAATGAATGAAGCCATTGTCACATACTGGTGTAGCTTCCTGACTTTGGTTCTCTGTGTTTCACTGTAGGTTGATAGGAGGATTGTGATAACCAAGTATGAGGCATTTAGATGGTGTGGGAGGCACATAGAAATCAATTTCTAGCTATTAATGCTGCTGCTCTTGTTTTAAGTATATGCCTTGTTTTCTAAAAATATAGAATAGCATGCATAGGGTTTTGTAACCACTTTTTGTCAATAATGAAGATCTTTTTTTTTCCCATCTCACTAAAATTCACTTATTTAATTCTAATGGTGGCATCCTATTCTATTACAGGGCTCATAGTAGTTTATTCAACCAATCCTTTAGTCATATACATCAAGTCCACTCAAGTTTTTCCATATTATAAATAATATATCTAAATATTCTGATTTATTTTTAAAATAAAATGTATTGGTTTTGTAGCAGGAAAAATGTTTTTGATAAATAAGACTGATCCCATGACACTATCGGCCCTGCTTGCTTAAGTAGAATGGTAGATACGTCACAGGAAGGTGAGGTGGGAACGCTGAGTACAAGGCAGCCTTTGCTTTCCACGTGCAAAGAGACAGGGTCACCATCCGTTAAATTGTCACTGACCGAGAGGAAAGCAGTTTTCCTAAGTCCAAAGCAATTGCCCTCCTTTTTCTTGAACAGAACTAGAAAATGTGGGGCCAGGTCATACAGAAAGAGGATCCTGCGGAGGTGGGAGGCTTGGGTTGAAGCTCCCTTCTGCTGCCTGGCCTCAGACCAGGAGCTTACACTTCTGGACCTTGGTTTCTTTTTCTATGAATGAGAATATTAGTACTGTTGTTGGTATTATGGCCTGCCCTTTCATCACTAGTTTGGAAGATGGAAACAGGGGTGGTCGTGAGCATAAAATGGAATCGTAGGTAAAAAGTTAATTTGAAGCATTAAAATAAATGTACAGAAATTATTTACTGGGAACCTGGGGTCACTGGTTCTTTGTGTGCTATTCCTCGTTGGAACTGTGGCCTGAGTGTATCCAGAGTTAACAGTGACTTTTGAGAAATTCCTTACCTCACATGCCACCGCTATTAAGAGGGAGCAAAAGCAGTAAGTAATTCAACCCTCTACTCTTTGCATGCTTTTTTATTTTTAATCCTTGCCAGATGTAGACTGGCAGTGAGCCCGGAGGGTGAGTGCTTTCTGATAGAGGTAGTTTTGTTCTTGTCTCCCTTCTAGACAAAGAGTTCTTGAAGGAAAAGGAGAAGTTAGAAATGGAATTAGCAGCAGTGAGGAGTGCGAGCGAGGACCACCGGAGGCACATTGAGATCCTGGACCAGGCTCTGAGCAACGCCCAGGCCAGGGTCATCAAGCTGGAAGAGGAGGTGAGATGGGGGTGGGTGNTGCAGGGTGTGTGTGTGGGGGGTGCAGCCCACCATCCCATACAGGAGTTGAAGCAGCAACCTTGTTGTAAAGAGCATGCACTCTCACCAGCTGAGCCATCTGGCTGTCCATTGGCAGCTCAGCTCGGGTGCAGCTCACTGGCCCATGTGGGAGTCGAACCAGCAACCCTGTTGCTCAGAGCTCACCATCTAACCAACTGAGATCTCTTATTGAAGGAATCAGAAGAGCTTCATGCAGTGTGTAGCCTGTAGGATGGGCCTTGAAAACAAATTAGTATTTTAGAGTAATTTTGCTGCCACAGTATACTATGTAAAAGGAAAAATTTCTATTTCCCTTTTAAATTTGGGCAACAAAAATTTGAATAAATCCTTCATGCTTCAGGCATTGTCTCTTTCTCATATTGATTCATCTCTCCAAAAGAGTTCCCTATATTTGAACAACAGCCATTGCTACAAATCTTTGTTTCTTCTGTAATGCCTGAACCAGTGGCTTTCAAACTCAGAGCCTCTTGTTTAAAAGATAGCTTACTGGGAAGCCCAAAATATAAAATGAACGAAACCTGGAAAATATTTCTGGTTGTGACAGGGGTGCATTTTTCAGCCCCACCCGCTTCCTATTTGGCTCCAGTATCCCTTTTTTCCCCAACCCATCCTCGCTCTCTCTCCCAGGGTCCTGCAGAAGAGAATGTGGTTTAAACTCCTGTTCTTAATTTTCCTTATTGCAGAATTCATTTTAAAACAGTTCTCTCTCTCAGCCATTTAAGACAAGCCCTCACTGGAGTGTTCCTGTATGTTAAAAGACCTATTTGGCCGCCCACTCACAATCTCTGTCTCCGGTTGCCTGGCGGAACCATGGCAACCCACGGTGGCTTACAGGGACAGCATAGGGCTCAAGAGCCTTTCCTGAAATAACAAGGCCCCTTACCTGAGGAACTTTATCAGCAAATTTTAAAAAGACAACAAAAAGCCAAATCGGTGGCTTGTGGCATTAGTTTTGTATATTCCTTTTTTATTTCTGAATTGATGAGTGTGGCTTCTAAAGGCAGATCATCTCTCACATTGTTTTGTATCAGATAAGCCTCATGTGAGTAGACCGTGCTTGTGTGATGTAAACAGTGCCCTGTTTGGATTGTATTTTGGGGGTCTCTTTCTGGGTTCATCCATTTGCCTTGTAAACTGGGGTGAGGGAGTGAGGGCGGATGTTAAGAATGAGCTCCTGAGTAAAGAATATCTTTGAGGCAGAATACATCTGAATAGTTTTGCAAATAGTGAAGTAAATGAAATACCTTCCAATTATCTTCCCACTCCCACACCTCAGAAAAAAAGAAATCACTTTTGGTGTCAACAAAATCTTCCACAGGGACCTGACTTCAGGCACCCCATAGATTGTAGCTGGCCCTTGGCATAGACTCCTCCCCGCAACTGTGCAGTGTTACAAGGTGCAGTGACAGGGAACTCAGGGCCGGAGGATCCTT